CGCTGACAGCCGAGAAATGATCCACCTTTCGCAGACGATCAACAACGACCACAATACCGATATTATCGGACGCGTCTTTTGAGTAGAGTTCGTACTGACGGACTGCCACACTCTACGAGAAATGGCAGGCTGGACAAAAATACTACAGTATGTAGTGAAGGTTCAATCGGTTGGCACGTTTCGCACGCGCGCACTTGTGTGCGTAACCAATTATAGATGCTGGGCCGCCAATACATAACGTCTATTCTTGTCCGAGAATTTCACCCATGATTATCTTGTGCCTTGAACTTGAGGCCCTCATCGTAAGGCAGTGCTTCACGCTGCGTTGCATGTGGTCAGTGCTGTATTCAGCAAGCTTCGGGTGAGTCAAAGCGTAAACGCTCTTCTATAACAACATATCTTTTTTCAAAATCTTTGCTTCTTTCAGCTCCGGGTGCGCCAAATCTGTTGCGTCCGGCCCGTACACTGGAAGTATCGCCTTATAAATTGGCGTCGTCACCATTGTGACGTGTAAAAATTTATAGTCGAAGTGACACGAAAGCACATCCACCACCACATATATTCGACCCGGCTGATAAAAGTAAAGTAAACTCGGCAAAGAAGGTGATATCTTGCCGTTTACTGTGAGAAATGTGGTGACAACATTGTTGTGCGCAACGTTGCATGATGTGTGTAGACTACGAATGCTTAGAATCAAGCAGGTGCAACATGAACTTGACGAGGACATACTTCATTGTCACGAGCTGGGTAGTTCATGTCAGCAGCTTTTAGCGACGAGACTCGAGTATGATCGAGCTTTCATGCCCACAGGCACCTGCTAACAGCAAATCACAATCTATTGCAAATGCTGAAGCGTCACAGAAGGCGTGAACCGATCTTCTAGGATTTAGAAGAACCAGAGTCAAGGCATGGCATTTTTACAACCTAGGGGTTATTTTTTCTGCCACACCCCGACACCATTTGACATCCGCTTTAAGGAAACAAATGAGAGGTCGTGCCATGGCGGCATCGCTCGCACTGTGCTTGTACTTCTCAGGCCAAAACAATCCCTTACAGCCGTATTCAAAAAAGGTACTGGCCAATCTGCAATGACCTTCACCTTTCCGAGATCCACCTGCAGGTCAAGCTTTTCGATGAAGCAACCAAAATGCAAATGTTGTTAGCGCCACAGACACTCTTGTCATTACTGGCAAAGAGTTAGTCTGCGCGAGCATCAACAAGCAAGTATTTCATGTGGTATTCCAGTTTGACGTTCTGTGCTCTGCAGAACTACAGGCGGCTATGTCGTTTAAATATGTTTGCTCACAGCCACGGTCTGGCCTCAATAGATGTGGTACCAGACAATGGAACGTCCCTTGTGTATTAGACAGTCTCTGTGACTCATGCAGCCCCTCTCACACCATCCCGTTAAAATACTTAGTGTAGAGAGAAAGACGTTGATGTCTCTTACCAACAGTTGATGTTAACAATCAACTTGAAGTAGAGCGCTGAACAAAGTGCAGCTGAACACGATGTTATGTCGGATTTTGAAGGTAGCTGTCCCACGCTCATCTCAGTACTTACGAGTGTCCTATTTGTCCAATTTACTCGTAACAGATGATACGGTGAGCTCCTCTTTTGGTCCAGCCACGCCGTTTTGAGGAGCTCACTGCTTGCAGATCTTTGCGCGTATCTTCGAGGATTATTATTCTGACAGCTTTTTCGCTCTATCACTCCATCTACAAATTACTAATCATTTTATCTCGTACTCGTTGAGCTTCCTTCTTCGCTCTTTATGGTGGGCCCATTTCTGACGCAGCAGTATCGATACATCGTAAGACTATCCATTTTTATAATTGTCCGGCTCTTTTACAAACGGTTTTTGGTCATCTTTCAGCTCCAACACTCTGTCATGAGAGATCGCGATACCAGTTCTTTCTGCACTCTACTGGCCCTAGCACAGAAGTCAACAGGTCATAGCTGCTCAAAATAGTCTCATCAGAGTTACATTCTGGGAACAAGTAAGCGTGAAGATACATTTATGTACCTTCTATATACACTGTGGATATTTACAGAAGAAATTTACAGTATGGTAATTTCAAATGCATACGTGATTTCGTATATGATGTCACAATCATTCTGTGTCACGTCAGTTTCATGAGATTATTGAATCTCGGAAGCAGGTCGCAACCCTTGATATTTGTACAGAACAATGCCTTTGAAACGGAACGTGTCTTTGTACCATAGTGGAGAGATGAGTTTTTCTCACGATATTTAGTCGAGTTGGATGCAACGATCACTACAAGACAACTACGAGACCCTTTGCGATGTCAAACCTTGCCGGTCGTGCGAAGCGTTGGGCGTTTAGGAAGCGTATGGCCGATCTTAACTGCTATTCGAGCTACGAACACTTCAAAGTCGAGATAAAAAGGCGTTTGAACCACCACAGAGTGAGTTCCGTGCCCGTGCCAAATTCTTGAAGCTTCGTCAAGGTCGTTACGACCTACACTCGTATGGCTACTTCGTATCGAGCATTGTCACGAGCCAATTGACGTTTCAACGCAAGTTGTAAAGTTCATGGCAGGCTTCAATAATGATCCAATCCGGAATCAAATTTTCCGTGAGTATCCCAAGACGCAGGACGATGCCATCAACCGTGCGATGCAAGAGGATTTCAGCATCAAGCAAGCCAAGTTCAATGGTTTCGTAGTAAAGCAACCGCGCCAGTCGACCGGTACATGTGATGGTCCAGAGCCAACGGACATCTCGTACATTTCCACACCTGAAAATGGGCGTCCTCGCAACGACAGAAAGTGTTTCTGTTGTGGGGACCCGGGTCATATTGCTCGGAACTGAAGAGTGTCTTTGCCGAATCGGCAAATGATACAGGGTGCTCGTTCAATAACCGCGGACGCTATAAAGACGTCCGTGATTATCGAACGCTCGCAAGGGTAAAAAAACGGGAACGACCAGTAGATGCGGAGCCCCCTTCTGGGTCCAAGAGGAGTAATGTGAATGTTGTGGATAGACAGAAATCTGGCTCCAACGTGCATGACGCACATGCGGTTTTCACTATGACTGATGGAAGTGTCAGGCAAAGTGCGGCTTTGATTGTCCATAAAGTCTTTGTAGATGGTTTTGAGAAACCACTACGAGCTTTGATTGACACTGGTGCGTCGAACAACTTTGTTCGAGCGCAAAATTGGACTGGCATGTTGTTAGGCAGCCCAATGTGAAAGAAAAAATGATCATTCGTTTAGCGAACAGATCCAGAATGAAGATGCCAAAGCAAGTCATTCGCTTGGCAATGGAGATTAAAAATTTTGATATAAAGACGAGTTTATCCTACCCGACTTTAATGATAAGTTTGATATCATTCTAGGTATGCCATGATTGAAGCGTTACCAGCCTAGAATTGACTGGATGAATATGAAGATCGTCGTCAACAAGTCATGCAGCGCTAACTCGAGCTGCATGACGACAAACGAAACAATAGGGGCTCCAGCATCTGTTGAAGATGTCACAGATGTTTCAAGTGATATTGTGGTGTGCGATGCCCTCTTGTTCACAGAATAAGCCCAAGAAGACGAAAGTAAAGACACCAACTGGAGGTGGAGCAGTCAGGCACCAGAAAAAGACTGACTCCTTTGCTATCCACACGGAAGTCATGATCAATGGTAATATGAAAAATAGTGCGATCAGAGCCAAACATCAACCCCGAGAGAAAAATAAGAAGGCCACCAAGAAAAGTTTCCGTCAAATATTTTGCGTACTAATCAAGGTACAAGTCATATTGGTGAAGGAAGTGTTCGAGAACAAGACACTCCAAGTGAGTATATAAATGTTGTGGCCTACAACGAATAAGGTGACGCCAATGTTATCCATCACGTAAAGGTTTCAAATCGCCCAAGCTTAATCAAAAACTCGTTTTCCTTGTAGTTATGACCAAGAAGACGCTGAAGCGTAGTCTGGCGAAATATGTTCGATTGTCGAAGAAATACCCGACGATGACATCAATACTGCGGAAATATTTGATGAGAAGACACTGAAGAAAAGGTTTGATAAGCAGTCCAGGGATGATCTTAGCTCAACCTCCGTGTATGGACTTGTCAAAGAATATGCTGATATATTTCCAGACAAGGTACCGGGCGAATTGCCATGTGATAGATTGCAGCGGAGCTGTCGTAGCTCTTTGCTTTGAAAGCCAATTAAGGTCACCGACCTTACGTCTTTACCAAAATAAGTACGAGTGTAGCGGATCGCAAGCCGCTACCTCCAAAAGTACCTAAGACCTGAACCCAAGGCAAATGCACTCGCTCAAATTTAAACTGTATTTACCTGTTTTATATGCGGCAAAGCTGCCTATATCTAATTCGCTAGGTTTTTCTAAAATCTAATTAATATGCGTAAGAACTGACAGTCCCGCTACGCAGTCGCTTCTAGTTACGCTATTACACCACTTATGAAGTCCAGACTTCTATACAAACACCCCATTTTGTGTGACACACCCCTGCTTACTAGGGTACGTGTAACCTCGCTACACTATCCCCCAACAAGTTGTGAATACTCACAATTCACATTTAACTGTCGCCTCATACGAGGCTCGCGTGTCTGAGACACCGTTACGCCCCTTGGGCCATCTTTATACATTCTCCACCCAGTAATTCCTATGTCTATGACTCAAAAAACACCCGGCCTCGCTGGTTGTGAGCAGAGTCATTCTTCGCCTGCTGCGGTGAAGACTCTGTCAACAATAGTCTTTTGTAAGCGACTGGTGATTGGCTCGGGCAAGACGAGGACGAGGGTCGAGCTCACTTTTCGCGGATCTCTCGGTAGATAAGCAGCAGTGCGTGCGAAACTTCTTCATTCATGTCAAACCTGATACTGTCATATTACTAAAGATCTGAGAAAGCGGATCTTCGAGGATGAACTTTTGTACTATGAGTTATGAAGGAAATATCTCAATGGGTGAACATTTCATATTTAATTATCAGATAATCATTTCTTGCTAGGTAACAAATATGAAAAACCTGGAGGTAAGCGATTGGGCTTTCCCGTTGCACCATGCGCGTCTAATTTATGCGGTACGTATTTTTCATGATAATTAAAACAGGAATATCAGCAGCCTGCAAGCATAGCAGACTTTCTGGCAGAAATATGTGTCGACCCTGTACTCGGACTCTCACGCGACGATGCTATGAAGCGCCGGTCTCTCTACGGTGCTAATCGCGTGACGCCACCCGTTAAGTGTCCAACGTGGGTCTGCTGTTTGCTGCCATGCCTTATGCGCACGGCCTCGATGAAATTGTATCAAAAGGTGCTACCTCGTGAGGTGATCGTGCGTCGTCAAGTAATTAGACATGGCCAAACGTCTTCTAGACGGATGCGAATGGATGTGACGAGTCTTGTGTACGGAGATGTCGTGGAAGTCAAAGCTGGAGATGTAGCAGGCGCGGACCTTCGCGTTATTGAATGCTCGGACGATTGTTGGATCGATCAGACGACGCTGGTCTGTGACAAGAATGAAGACGAGGAAGAAGCCGAGCAAGGAATAAATAGAAAATATGTTAAAACCGAAACACCACCTCTGCACCTTCAGCAAGATATTTTGCGTTGTAGTAATATTATACCTATGACAGCAACAGTGTTGCAAGGTTCTGCTGTGGCTGTTGTGCTATCGACAGGGAATCACACGCTGTGGGGGCAACTAGTCTCACACCATGAGTGGCCGCGAGTGCCTGGAACTCTGCTCCAAAGAAAGAAAAGAAATTTGAATGAGGAAAATACGAGCTTGATTGTTTAGTGATGACTAAAAAAAAATTCGTTTGTACTTTGCTTAACTCGTCCGCCCATCGGTCTCAAAATCATTACCTACGACTTTCAACGGTGCGGGGCTGCTGGTGGGCCAGCAGCCGGGGAACCTCCATCACCACCAAAAAGACTAAGAACGACAATTGGCAGGATGATGTACCACTGCGAAAATCATATATCAAAGATTTAAGCTGAAGAAACAGTGAAACTATTGCAGGTGCACGTACGTATTTTCGAAGAAATGACTGACTTTCCTCTTCGGCTTCTTCTTTGTTGTCTGCAGTCTTTACTAGTTCAACACCTTGTGGAGCACGGTCGCGCTTGACAACAAGATTGTCTGGAGGCCTGTATCAAACGAGCGTACAAATATGTTGAAACTATGCCCTCGTCTACTTAAGCAAAGACATGACCTACATTGAACCAGCCTGTGACTTGAAAACTGTGCCGAAAGGGCCAAAGCGCATATCTTCAAAGCTAGGAGTTTGAAAACCAGCGCATTTATATTCGTCCAAATACGGCGTTAGATACTCCATCGATAACAGCTTGCCACTATCTGAAAGATGAAAGGCGAAGTCCTCGCGTAGATTCATCGCTGCCAGCATACACGGTGGCACAGATGTCATGACATAAGGCGAAGCCGGGTCTGTTGGGTCTGCCTTTGCGCGCACTGTGTATAATTTTTCGTGCTCTAAAAGCATTTTGAATTTCTCCATGTCTTCGAGGCTCAGCGTTGGCAGCGCAGAAAATGAGACCTTGGGCTGTGGGGGTGTTGACGCGCCAGTCACGATCTCCACGACACCACGCGGTGTAAAAGGTGCTCCCTCAACAAGCTGATGCTCCAACTCAAAGTAAAGTGTCCGTTCAATTCCCCTAATTGAAGCAATAGACCATTCATTCTCGAAGTCATTGTCAGATTCCTCCTTTAGCCTGAAGATCAACGATTAGAAGGAACAGTTAGATCTGCAAGTATGAATAATAGTCGAACAGAAGGATAGCCTAGCCAACATACCCCTGCTCGTTGGAGCTAGTAGAGTCAATTGTCCCCGCTAGTACCGATGCAAACAGCACGATCCACGTGCATGTACCTGATAGCGTCATTTTTCTTTCTGGAGTACGAGGCATGTCACTCAGTTGAGGTTGTCTATTTATTTATTTTACACTTTCTCGTGTTTGATGCCATCGTCAGAAGAACATGTTATACATGTGCCTTGCGCTAGCACTCAAAGCAGTGGCACACCATCACTTAACTCTAAAGAGATAGCCACTATAGTGCGTAAGCTCAGCTTTAGTGGTGCTGGGATAGACGAGCTAGAAAATATAGAGCGACAAATTAACGACGAGAAGAAGGAGCTAAAACAAAAGCCGCAGCACGAGGGCATTATGCTGGACGACAACAAAGTGCAGATTGTTATTCGTCTTCGACCACCTGACGAATCTTCTAGTGGGATGGAAACAGATTGCTTTCGCGTTCTGTCGGACGTGACGCTGCTAGCGCAACCGCCCAAAACTTCGCAATCTTATCGCTCCACAGGCACAGCCACAAGCTTCCATTTCTCGCACATATTTCGTCACGAAACACAGCAGACAGAACTATTCGAGGTCACTACAAGGCCCGTGTTAGATGCAGCTTTTGATGGAAAAAGCGGCCTTGTCTTTGCGTACGGAGTCACCAACTCAGGCAAAACTTACACAATTAGTGGTTCAAACGAAGCGCCTGGAGTGCTGCCGCAGGCGCTGCAGTATGTGATGGACGAGATGCCGAAGCGCAAAGACGACGGGAAACGGTTGGTGACCCTTTTGATGGCTACGTACCTTGAAGTCTACAATGAGAATGTGTATGACTTGCTATCGCCTGCAGTTCGGAAGAGGAGAGCATTACGCGTACAAGATTGTGACGGAAAAATTGAGGTGCGAGGAGCAGTAAAGAGGCCGATTAAGACTCTGGAAGAAGGTCTTGAGCTACTAGAAATCGGTCGAAGGCATAAGCAAATGGCCGAAACAAATTGCAACTCGGATTCGAGTCGAAGTCACTGTGTATTCACGCTTCACTTGTATAGTCAATTGTCGCGTTTTTCTTTGGAGCTTCGTAGCAAGGTGTCAATTGTTGACTTAGCAGGATCAGAACGTGGCTCAAAAAGCGGCGCGACAGGGTTACGCATGCAGGAAGCCAGCAAAATAAATAATTCATTGATGAACCTGATGCGCTGTTTGGAGACTTTGCGATGGAATCAGCAACATCCGCCGAATCTGCAAAAGATGGTACCATTTCGTGAGTCGAAATTGGCCCGACTGTTTCAAGAGAATTTGGTTGGCAATGATTACGGTCCAATTGTGATGATTGTGGCTGTAAATCCGTCTAGTCACGAATTCGACGAAACTCTGCGCACTTTAAAGTACAGTGCCGTTGCGCGTGAATTGGTAAGAACACGAACGTCCATTCCTAGAAAAGCCGCACCGGCAGCCACATTCTACGACCTGGATGGTCGGTTGAAAAAGAGAAGTCGGACTTCAGCAGATCAGCCGGCAGTTTCTAAATCGTCGAAACCACATGTGTATCGAGAAATTAAAGCGAATGCCTTACCATTATCCGTAGGATTTCACGCGGAGCATCGATTTAGTGTTTGTGTACACTGCCAGAACCGTTCATTCGCAGATTTAAAAGATAAGCCGAAAACAGCGGAGGCAGGAACGTCACCGATGGAGTCGACAAGAAATATTGCCGGAAGAAACTTGCATTGGGTACGTAGACATTGCAAGTATATTTTAATCACGCTAACCACATGTTTAGGTCAAGCTAGAAGTAGAAAATGAGGAACTCCGTCAGCAAATTGCACAAATTCAAGCAGAAAAGATGATTCTGGAAGTCCAAATTCGCGCAGAAATTGGCAGCGAAATGCGCGAACAGTTGCAGCAGATTCGTGGGCAATATCAAAGTATGCAGCGTTCACAACGCGAGGATTTGCCATCTGCACGTAAGAAGCGTGAGCGTCAACATGTCGAAGAGTGCGATAAGCTTCGGACTCATGTGCAAGAATTACGTGAAAAGGTGAGAGAATGCGAAGACGAAATACAACGTATACACGAACGCCACCAGGCAGAACTTGGTAAATTGCAGCCGAACTTTGTGCCGGTTGTTGTTGAAGATGAAAACTTATAATTTCGATGGATAAAATGAGTCATCAGCACCTATTACTCGCCACGATCGTGCATTCAATAGTCACCATAAGTTACAGAAAGCACTACACTTTGCCGATGCCATACATAAAGCTCACATTTTCCTTTTCTTTTCTAGCTGTTCAGGTTAAAAACTGCAGATCTAGTGCTTACATAAAGTCGTCGTAGTCATCGTACGTGTCTTCGTAGCCGGTGTACGCCTTACCACCAGCGCCACCGGTGCCAACGTTGCGTTCGACGTTCGTATAACCCTGCTTACCAGCCTGCTTCTTTTTTTTGCCCTTAGGTTTCGCGGCCGCGATTTTTTCATTCTTGATTACATTTATGATGGTTGTGATCTCCTTCATGTCATCAGCCGTCAAGTTCACGGAAGCCTTTGTTAAAATGATCTTAATACACTCAAGTGCATATTTGGAATTAGATGTAGCCAATCGGGATGCCACGATATCACCCAGCTGCTCGTGATCGGCAAGTGATAACAGACGCATGCTGGAAATCATATTTTTGTCATCATCGGGAGCGATAGCTGTGCTTTTTTGCACAGTACCTGCAAGAGCATCAATTGCCATCTCAAAGTCCGCCTCCTCAATGGAGGCTTTCTCTCTAGCGCGGCGCTCTTCGTTAGATTCATTGGCCTGGGCAGCAAGACGCGCCTTAGTAAGAGCCATTTCCATCTTCTGCTTCTCCTCGATCTCCTTCAACTTCATTTTTTTAAGTTGTTTGGGTTTGAGCGGTCCAGACGAAGCAGATCTTTCCTCTACTTTTGAGGTCTTGATCAAATCAATCTCTTCCTCTTCGTCATCCCAATTATCGATTATTTCCTGGGTTTCCGTCACCGTCGGTACTTCAAACTCGTCGTCATCTGCACAGATAACACAGAAAAACGTAAGATTTCCCAGCAAGAGCTACGTTACGTGCTTTACGGCAAATTGTAATAGAAAGGGAGCAATGAATAAGGCTTCAGAAACGTACCCCAAGAGTCCATATTGGTTGATTGGCTTTGATTATTTCGCTGGAAAGCCCCACGTAATGTGAACCACCTCAATGTAGTGGGAAACTAACAATTTACAGAAATATCGAGAAAGTCTTTAGCATGTTGTTCAACCGTTCAAAGTAAAGAATGGGCTACTTGGTAATTACTTCAGCTTTGATGATAACAAATTGCGACACTAGATAATTATCGCGGACACTTTATATCAATGCTTCCTCTGTAAAAAGAGTAAAACATCTCTGTTGCAAGCTTGGCTTATCATCTGTCATGATTAATCACGTTGTTGAGAACACTCGCAGGCGAGGAGTAGGAGCTAACCTCAAGGAATTCACGTAATTCTTTGAATTTGTGCACGAGGATAGTGATGACGTGGTTACGAGAGACCCACCAGGGGGAGATGAGATACGTTTTGAAGTTTGTCCAACAGTTTTACAATACTTTTAGTTTTTTTCGCAATCAATCCAAGATACTATCGCACCTATGTTGAAAATCTAGAGAAATCTCATCGCATTAAATTTATTCACCATGAGGTTTGCTTGAAAGGTCAACTGGTACAGGAGTTCCATCAGCTTCATCCTCCAGTCGCTGTAGATCTACTGGATAAATCCACCGCTGGTATAGATACACAATAAAAACAATGTCGTCTCGAAAGCACGATATTCGGTGTAGCGTCGGCATTTTGATCACAAATGCGAACAAGTCGTCAATGAATGTGTTTAGCGCGCGATAGATGAGCAATCGCCATTGAAGATGTGCTACTGATTTGAGCCGATAATTTATGACCAGTTGTGGAAGCATGAACACGAAGCCCAAAGCGTACACTGTGGTGGTAAGGGACTCAAGAAACCAGGTGTACCAGCCAGCATGCGGTACATATATCAATGAATACATGGCATATCCTGCAGCCAGAGGCGTCAGTACGAACAGCATGTGCGACGTAGCCAACGAGTCAGCGCGCTGCGTCTCCTCTAACAAACGCAAGGTATGTTCATCCATTGTAAAATTTTTGTCAACGATTCCTTCAGCTGATGCCTTCCGATTACTGTGAAGCCGCCGCTGAGCACGTTGGACCTTGGTAACTTTCCAGATCAGTAGCACAACGCTAAGGCACTGTGGTCCTGTGACAAGCAGCGTCGAGTCTTGATCGATAAGATAAAGCAATACAACAATTTGAGAACCCAATTCAGCAACCATGGCACGAAGCGAGACACCCACAACGTTATCTCCTTTGGCACGCCAGTAGCTCACATCATGTCGAAAAGCTAGCCAATCAAAAAGTATGTGAAGGAGTGCCACGCTCATTGTGATTGTCAAAAGAATCGGATGAGTATCGGTCACCATGGAGCGTAAAGCATCTAAATCGCTCGACGGCACACCCATTTTTTCCTGCGAAACAAATGCAGATGCAAAAGTCAGCTGCATCTGCCAGCGCGCATAAGACAGCGGTGACCACGACAATCGCAGTGGGAGAATAACTTCGCCACTACTGCCATCGTCTAATGTCGAGTTTAAGGGCACGAGTTCATGTTGCGCCAGCGGCATATCGTTTATAGAAAGCGCCGGCAAATAACGCCATCGATTGTCCTCTGGGTGTTGGATATAGTTCAAATTGTTATAAACTAACAGAGGCAATCCGTCGATCGGAAAACGCGTGAAATCTGTCACGAGTTGTACATCCACTGCGGTCTTCCAATAGGATGTAACTGCTGCTTTCTCTTGCACATTTGATGATGAAGTCACTTGTACAGGGGCCAACAATAATCGAGAATTTTTAGCATTGGGACTCGTTGCATATTTGATAAGGTTTGAAGATTTGTAGATACTTCTATACTTGATGTGATTCTGGTCCTTCGGGTTGGACGAGAATGGAGCTTGCCTAACGTGGACCTGTAGAAACACTGATGCATTCCCTTTAAGGGCATTCCAAATATTGTCCGCTTTTTTCGAGTCACCCGCCATTTCTATCAATGTTTGCCGAGATACATTGACATCCAAGCGTCTAAAGTTGGAACTTTCCCAGTCAAATGTGAGCGACTCGAAGCCTCCAACTGGAACCGCATTAGCATAAAAATTTTCGGTCGCGTCCAATTCGATGCGATCAGATAAGTAAAAGTTTACGCCCAGTAGCTGACCCTCTTCCCACAATGGGTCTAGAGTGTTTGAAGACTCTGGAAAAGCCGGGTACATGATCCGGTATATCTACGTTAGCCAGGACTAAACTTAACATCAATTTTACAAAGGAACACATCATCTCTCTACGCACATTATGGCCAACGATGGACATATATGCGAACTAGAATGAACCCCATATTGAAATAAACATATACAGCACAAAAATTAATATTGTTGAACCAAAGGACCTCATAGATGCATAATAATTACAAAAATAACGCAGGAGACTGTAGTGAATGTGACCCATGATAGCAGCGTCTTGAATACCGCCATAAGCACTCAAGAGAACGTAGGAACGAGTGGAGAAACCAATGTTCGGAAACCAAAATGAGGTGAACATGATTCTAAAATTTGACCAGTAATATGGTGTCATGAGCTCAAACAGCCAATCCGCGCCGTCCGATTTGCGAACCAGTCAAAAGTTAACGTTCGACCTAATGACGACTGTTGTGCTTGGAAGAAAGCTGTTGCAGGCAGCAACTCAAGACGCGGCTAGCGACGATGAAGTGCTGCGCTCGTTGGAGGCACACGATCGCTTTTTTTGTCATGTTATGGAGAACATTCCGGCAGCATTCTACTTTCCCACAGACGCTGAGGCCAATTGGAAGAAGTCTGCACCCAAAAAATACCACAAAGTGAGGATGACACTTAGTCTTGCCATTACAAAAACTTTGGCAGCTCTATTGCCAATCAGGGGTAATTTGATGTGTTTACGACTTTATCAGCTCTGACAGCCGATTTTATTTGGCTTCTACAATTTTACAGAACGTGCAGGCACAAAAGCAGCAAGATTCGTCTAAAAAGAACCTTCTCAAGCGCGCAAAATTTTCGCCAGTGGCGCAGCAGAGCAATGAGGAGCGACAGAAAGCAATTGCATTAGCCGATTGTAAGTTGGTGAAGCAGAACCAGACAAAGCTAAACCAAGAGGAGGCCAAGGCTTCAAAGGACAATAGTTTGGACGGTCTCCGTGCTCGTCTTGCTGTCAAAATTCAAGCGATGCGCGAGCAGCGAAAGGCCGAAGAGAAAATAGGAAAGAAGCGTCCATCCCGTGCTGAGATGGTGGCTGAGCAGCGTGCTATAAAGAAGCGCAGGGTGGCGGATAACAAGAACAAGGCCAAGACTGAAAAGGTTGAGAAAGAGGCTGCTAGTTTGGCTCCCAGTGAGATACAAGCGAAAAATGACGCGAATGCAAGGGATGTTGCTACTTCTCTATCGTATGGCAGTCTGCTTCTGGATGATGGTCTAGAAAAGGACAACAAAATCAAAACTCGCCACGGGCAAAGTGTTCGCGCAATCCAAAATCTGTTGAAAAAGGCCGAACGCAATGCTCAACGACTTGAGGAGCTAAAGCAAACGGAAGAAGGGAAAGAAAAGATCAAAGCTAAAGGCTGGGATTCTGCTTTGCAGCATGCTGCCGGCAAAGTTTTGATGGATGATCCCAAACTGTTGCGTTCCAAGCTGAAAAAGAAGGAAAAGGCAAAGTCAAAAAGTGCAAAAGAATGGAGAGAGCGCACAGCAAAGCTAGAAGTGACGAAGAAAGAGCGGCAGAAAAAGAAGATGGCCAATGTCCTTGGTCGCGGAAAGAAGGACCATACGCAGCCTGTTGAAAAAAAGGGCCGAAAGGGACCGGTAAGTGTGATCAAAAGCGTAATCCAAATCTGTTGAGACTGACACAAGTTTTATTAATGTCAGCGCGCTGGCTTTGAAGGTAAAAAGGGCGAAGCATTTTTGAATTCCGATAAGAAGGGGGGCAAGAACAGCAAGTCTGGCAAGAACTATCAGCAGGGAAGAGTTGAAAAAAGCCCAGCTTAATAGTGCAGAATACCAATTTGCGTCGTAAAACAAATTTTGCTGGTACCTCAAAGCTGCCTTTAAGAGTTTTTAAAGCGAATTCGAGCTGCGCACTTTCATTCGCATACCTTGTCAGCGAGTTGCTTTGATGAACGATATGTTGCACGTCTGAGTCAGTAAGTTGCTCTAATTTCCATTTATATGATTATCGAAAATTTCGCTCAAATTTAATTTACATGTAAAATTCGTCGTGCGACAGGGTTTCTGCACAGACATGCTGTTTAGTATCTAAAATAATGAAATGCTAATGCTTAATGCATTGCGTGCCCTTAACCTCTCTGGATATAATATCATCAATTCTGCTACAAAGTGTAGCCGAGGTAGTTGGTCAGTGCCAACAATCACTCTACCGCAAAGAACAGAACTTTTCGTGGAGGTGTCAAAAGGACATGGGGGTAAACAAGAACAATTATAAGACGTAGTGTAAGTGTAGGGTCTGTGCAGTAGTGACGACGTTACAGCGCAATTTATGTGCGTCGGAGAATGTCGCTTCAGCACCGCGGTTGCTTCGCGCGAGACTTTACCTCCCACTAAACGATAAATGTATCCGTCTGACCATCGGGTCTGTGGAATGTTCGCTAATGACATATCCAATCCGATGCCAAGCACCATGCGTACTGCAAAGCGCAAATTCTGATTCAAGAACAAGCCCCGAAACAAATTGAGTGTATCTTTACCGTTGATGATTTTGCTTGCTGATTGCAGCGGGATGAACCAATTTTTATAGCAGTGTTCAAGGAATACAATGTCCTTATTTTCGGAGGCTACTCAAGGAACACCAACACTATAAAAATGCTAGTGGACTGTCAGCATTCCCGCGGCTACCGACCGGTAAATGGTTGATTTCACATGGAGCGAAAGTTTTAGAGTTAAAACCTCATAAGCAGCGGGGCTGCCGTAGCTTTGCGCTTGAGAAAGCGTAATTTAGGACACCAACCTTTCGTTCTTTACAAGAACTAAAACGAGTGCAGCGGATCGCAATCCGCTACCTTCAAGAGTAGTTAGTACCTTAACGAAGGCTAATAAACTCTTCGGATTAAATTCAAAAATTGACTTTATTTATTTCTATCTGCGGCAAAGTCACCTAATTTTGAATGTTAAGATTTTCCTAAATATACTAAATATATAATATAATCTAAATACATGCATAACTACTGGCT